CTGGATTTTGGCCAAAACAGTGAGCAAAGGCTTGGTACTCCTTAAGGTCTCCAGCTGGTGTAGAGGTAGCATGAGCATTTATGTAATTTATGTCTTCCTTAGAAATCCCGGCGTGAGCAAGTGTTTTCTCGATACAGAGAATGACACCAGCACCTGTGGATGTTAGATATCTCCTTCCGTATAAAGATTAAGGTTTCAAAAGATAAGAAACCATTGGAAAGTAAAGCTAAGAATCATGCTTTAGAGCAACCAATCAAGGATATTTTTCCATATGTGGATCCATAGATACTGCTTAAACTTATTCTTTAGGTTGCTTGTATCGTTATAACTTTATACACAAATAAAAGCAAACAAGATAAAAAAACACCGTGGATTAGTGAATTAAGTTAGTAAGAAGATAAAAAAAATCTACCATCAGGACGTGGTTCAGTTATATGATATGCATCAGATGTGAAACTACCACCAAGGAACTCCGCGTATATAGTTGCTCCTCTTTTCTGCAAAAACACAATTTATATAGTTTCACAACGACTTAATTAAAAGCTTTGAAAACATTTTCATTTGTGAAGACAAGTAAGAAATTCCGTCAAAAATTTATACAAATGGCTTGAAGAACATCAAACACTTGAAATGCAAGATTCAGATGGGTAATCAGGAACAATAACAGGAGCCTAGGTTTCTGTATGGATATTTGAAATGAGTGACAAACCTTGGCATGCTCAAGTTCTTCTAAAAGCAGAACTCCAACTCCCTCTCCCATGAAGAAACCATCCCGATTCTGTTTAGCAACCAAGATCAAGTTTAATAGAAAAGAAAGAAATTTCTAAAACAAAAGCTCTTTCAATATTATCCTACAGGAGAGTGAGATGCACTGGACATTCATGTCCGCAAAAATTCTTTAGATTGCCAAGACAAGGAGACTTAACACCCACGGTTTCTGTCATTTTCTACCATGGGTATCATTGGGGAACCATTTAATGCATACCCTTCAAACATATAGTTAGATCAGAAACGGCTTAGCGATCTCAGGCAGGTGGCGAATCACCATGCTGTCCATGCCTATAATAGGGTGGGCTAGGTTTCCATGTTTTGAAAATCCACCATCTTTAGTAATCAAGATTCAAATAGAACAGTAAGAAAAAATTTGTACGGCATGGTATAAAACAGAAGACAGTATGAAAAATGATGGAAATTTACACTATCCCAAGGACGTGAAGCTTTGGTGGGATCGTCATTCTGTTGTGAAAGAGCACGACAAGCAACAAAACCTCCCAACCCTGCATTGGGACATATGAGATAAGATTCATGTGGCACAAATTTGAGAACAAAGAAAAGTGTGTAAAAGGAAAGAGTATGCACCTATTGGAATAATAACTGAATCAGAGCCACCACAGAGCATTACATCCTATAACTTTTTAGGGCAAAAACAGGCAAATGTCAAACAAAAGTAGACTCACATAAAGTACACCATATTATTAAATTTCCTCGATCGAGGATACTTACAGCTTCACCTCTAATAATGTGGTTTGCCGCATTCAAAATACAGAAGTTTCCAGTGGCACATGCAGTTGAAATAGAGTAGTTTGGACCCATCCATCCCTAATGTTGTATCAAAACAAAGAAGGTCAATACTTACATGCAGCCATTGGTATTACGACATAATATCCAAATATGATCAGACCAGATCTATGGCAAGCATAGCGGATCCCATGTTTGTGGTCGCAAAAGGCACACAAAAAGGATTCATCTTCTTGTAAGATATTTTCAAAGCTTCAAGCGCATCATAAAAGATCTGTCTTCCACAAACACAGAGGGAAATGCAACAATTAGAAACATATTTCTAAACAAGATCTTCTGAAAACTATGATCAAAATAAAAGAACAATCTTTTGATCAGCAGAGATTCTGAACAACAACCCTGTGTCCAAAAATATTTCCTTCTTTCATTCATGTTCAAAAGAAGAAACAAGAACTCCAATCCTTCTTTCATTCATGTTCAAAAGAAGAAACAAGAACTACCTTCATGCCTCTCATAGCTGAGCCAATCAAAACTCCACATCTGGATTTGTCTAACTCTGCCATTACATCCTCAGTTACTCCACCATCAGCCAACGCTTTCTTACCAGCGGTAAGAAGATAAAGCATGAATTTGTCCATTCTTTTCGAAAGTTTTAGAGCAACCAATCCTTCGGTCGAAAAGGATTTAATTTCTCCAGCGATTCTCTTGCCAAAGCACAAACCAAAAAAAAAAAGGAAATTTACAATCAAAAACAGCCTAGGAAAAAAAGAAAACCATCCTGAGACTAAAACTTGTAAGAGCCCTTCATATAACACTTAAAGTAGGAAATGCAGAGCAATCAAATTCTGGATATGGCTAATACCACTGATGCCTTGTAGGTCATGACCTATTGGTGTTTCAACTCCCATACCTATCACAACAACGCGTCATGACTTCAAAGGAGGTTTCTTGTTAACCATTGCTTCCTTCTCCATCTCTAGCGTGACTTGTCCTGTTTAGCAAAAAGACACTAACTTTATCTCAATGGTATTTGTAACAAGAAAAACACTCGAAAGGTCAACACTTTAATGGCATTGGATTGAAATGGTATAATACCAGAGGTACAAGATGCTCGATTGAATCTCCTCTGTTTTCGATTGAAGTAAGTGTTATTCGATTCGAAGACGGAAGACAAGGCATTGTTGTTACAAGAACTCACAAGACCGGCGGATCCATGGGGAGAAGGAAAGGCGGAGCATTTTTCAAGAAGTTTACTCCGGCGGCTAGTCCTAGTATCGGATAGAGCAAGTGGGTCTCCGCCGCCGGACATGCAAGCTACCACTAGCAAATCGCGTAACGGAGATGCGTAACATGAAGACGCAGTCGTCATGGCCAGCGAGATGTTAATGGTGAAAAATCGAATTGAGAAACGAGAAATGTGTGGTGATTTTAGGAATGAGAATCTAGCAAGAAGAAGAAGATGGATTCTAGAGGTGACGAGTCACGGATCTCTCTCACACTCACTCACAAAGTCACAAGTGTTTGGATGCGTGAAGACGCCAAGTCGTTTCAATGAACATCTGCAAAGCCAGAGAGACTATATAACGAACGACCAGATTAATTATTTTATTCACAGAATATCAATATCGCCATATGTATTTCAAATGTAATTTTTCTGTCTACTTTTAAGTTATTTTGTACTTTATAAAATTTTTAGTCTTAAAATTACATGTATATATAGTACAGAACCGTTTCATATCACATTTGTAAACAACATTTCTACAGAAATGACTCTTTTGAGCTCTAATTAATTTCGGATGACAAAAAAAAAAATTACATGTATATATACAAATCGAATCCGATTTAATCGAAGGAAGAGACAGTAAAGTCAAAATTTTATTCAGTCAACTGCTGTCCACTGCTAGGGCAAAGCAAAAAAAACAAGTAACCTTTATTTCTTGTTGCATTGTTCTTCTACACGAATTCATCTCAAGAATGTAATAGGGAACTAACTAATAGCTAAATCGGACCATGTAATTTCTTGATAAACTGTTGAAACAATCTTTTAGACTAATCCATAAGCATCTTTACTCTCTCGAGTAGATAAATTGGAATCTCATAATACCAACTGCATAAAAAGATGGTGAACACATACAATAAACTGATAAAAATTTGAAAAATTGTGTTCGGACGGTGAATAATCGAAGATGATGATTTTTTTTTTACTTTTTTATTTATCGTCAAAATCGTAATAAATAATAAAATTAATTTAAATTTAATTTAAATTAAATAAATATATATTAAACAAACATAAATCGATTGTTCCATCATTTTTTATGGCTTTGCAAACAGAAAAGTTAGTTTGGAGGTTTAAAGTGTTAGTAAAACATTCTCGGTGGTTTATAGTATTAGTAGAATTCTTTCGAGGTTTAAAGTGCTTCCCAGTAACACTTTGAAGGTTAAAAATGTGATTTTCCCTAATAATATTGTAAAGTGATGATGAATACATCACTTGACACATACATGTAGTAATATTATAAATTCATGTAATGTATATCCTACGTGTATGCTAAATTATAATATGCTAATATGGTAAATATGATTGAACTTTACTTTTTCATGAAATTAAATTTTGCCTTTTCATATTTTCTTTCACCTCTATACTTTCCTTTCTAATTTAAAGTTTCCTTTTTATGATATAAAATTACTAAATTTTGTTTGCTTGTATTATATAAAACGACGCTTTTTAAGGGACAGAACCACGCCTCACCAACTTTTTCCTAATCTTTCTTCAACTTTTTTTCCTTTGTTGTCACCTTTTGGTATCGAATAAGTAATAACATCATTAATTTATTCATTATATGTAATTTATCCTTTTCATTTTTTCTTCTTTTCCTAGCTTTCTACTTAATTATTTGGCAATCGGTAAAATTACCAACAACGCTGGAAAAAAAAAAACAAATTTGAGAAACAAAAAGTTCAAATAAAATTACTTTTAAATGATTAAAACCTAGACTTTGGTACGTTTTTTGTGACGGTAAACAATACAAATAGTTAAAAAAAGATTTCCTCTGTCCCAAATTATAGGATGTTTTAGCATTTTTTCTTTGTTCTATTTTATAAAATTTTCCTAGATTTCTATGCGTAATTTATGTTTATTTAGTATGTTAATTATGCCGTCTATTTTTTTATTGGCTGAATTCCTATAAAAAAAAATAAACATTAATTATTTTTTAATCTTTGTGCTTTTACAGAAAACATTTTATAAAATGGGATAGAGAGAATAATGTTTTTCGTAACATTTTTAGTGAGTGGTAAATTATATAACGGTAAATTCTGTACCGTAACAGTATAAAATTACCAATCAGAACCAAGAACCCGAACATCCGGATAAATGCGTTACGACATGAAGAAAATTTTGTTTGAGGCTTGAAGCAATAATTAAAATACTTATTAAATATCTAGATATTTGCCTAAAAATTGCAAAATGGAAGAATTGCAAACGAACAAAAAATTTGACATTTTAAATTATTTCTCTTTCTATCTCTAATTCACAGCGTCGGGAACGTTTTTTCGTGGAAGAAGAAGAAGAGCTCTCAACAAGCTCAACGACCAAAACTTCCGACACGAAGACTTTTTATTTAATTTCCCCTTTTTGATTTTTCTTTTTTTTGTTCCATAATTCTCGATACTCAATCTCTTCTTCTTCTTCTTGGTGATCCTCATGACATAAAAATACGATTTTTATTCTTGCACCAAATTTTTTGACTTTGGATTAGCGTAGAAATCAAGCACATTCTGGGTTTATTCGTGTATTAGTGGACATTGATTTTGTCAAAGCTACGTTTTTTTATAAAAAAGTTGAATTTCCTTTTTTCTTTTCTCTTTAGTCTTTTTTATTTTTCCTTCTTCCCCATGTTATAGATTCTTAGATTCTCCCCCAAATTTTGAAGAAAGGAGAGAACTAAAGAGTCCTTTTTGAGATTCTTTTGCTGCTGCTGTTGCTTGATTAGATCATTTCGTTGATTCTCGATTTTTGTGGGTTTCATAAGCTTATTGGGATCTTATCTGATCCAGGATTTTCTCAAGGTAAAGGGACAATCTTTAGCTTCTTTGTAGCTGAAATTACTTGATAATTCCATGTCTTGGATTCTGATTTCGTGCTTCTTTTTTTTTAATTTCAAATTCATTTGGAACTCGTTTGCTTAATGGTAACAGGTTTTAGGGTTGTTTAGTCATTGTTGTTAGATTCAAAGTGCTATTATTGTTCTGTGGCTTTTGATGTTTGAAAGTGAACTAGTGTTTGGGTTTTTGCTTAATCAGAGAGATTTGACGATTTTGCAGGCTACATTGCCTATGAGCAGATAGTTTGTTTAGGCATTATGGGTTGGTTTAACAAGATCTTTAAAGGCTCTAACCAACGGCTCCGGGTGGGGAATAATAAGCACCATCACAATGTTTATTACGATAATTATCCGACTGCTTCACATGATGATGAGCCTAGTGCGGATACAGATGCTGATAATGATGAGCCTCATACACAGGAACCATCTACCTCTGAGGTCAGTATGATCCAGATGCTTACTGTTTACTTAAATTGTTTTAAATTTTCTGAGTTTGGAGATCATGAAGTAGTGAAAAAGAACACATATATAGAATTACATAGCTCTGTTATGTACTGTTATTTCAAATTTTGTGCTTATTCTTTACTAGGATAATACATCCAATGACCAGGAAAATGAAGACATAGACCGTGCAATTGCATTGTCTCTTTTAGAAGAGAATCAAGAACAGACAAGTATAAGCGGTGAGTTCATTTTCAGGATTGTTTTAGCCAAACAGAAATATGAAGACATAGTTATGTTATCGGATTCTGTTTGCTACAATTTTTCTTAAAAAGTAATGGACACAGGGAAATACTCGACGCCGCCGGTGGATGAAGATGAGCAACTTGCTAGAGCCCTACAAGAAAGTATGGTAGTTGGGAATTCACCACGTCACAAAAATGGAAGTACATATGATAATGGGAATGCATATGGGACTGGAGATTTATATGGGAATGGACATATGTATGGAGGAGGAAATGTATATGCAAATGGAGATATTTATTATCCAAGACCTATTACTTTTCAAATGGATTTTAGGTATGTAGATAGCCAATCATCTTTAGCTGGCTTAATTTGGTCGATGTGTTAGTTTAGTGTCCAGCCAAATAACTTGTCAACAACTTGTCTGCATAGAATTTGTGCTGGCTGCAATATGGAGATTGGCCATGGAAGATTTCTGAATTGCCTTAATTCACTATGGCATCCAGAATGTTTTCGATGTTATGGCTGCAGTCAGCCGATTTCTGAGTACGAGGTGAAACCAAGCTCTTCTATATTCTCTTCATTTGTTTTCTGGGTGTACTTAACCTTTAGATTTTATCTGTAACGTGTTTCTCTTTTTTTAGTTTTCAACATCAGGGAACTACCCTTTTCACAAGGCTTGTTACAGGGAGAGATATCATCCAAAATGTGATGTCTGCAGCCACTTTGTACGTAAATCTCTGGCCTTTTCTATCGTTTAAACCCAGATTTAATGTTTTTTTTTCCAGATCTTGCACTTATCGTCTGTTGCTTTCTTTTTCCGAATGTAAATTTTTTGAACAGATTCCAACAAATCATGCTGGTCTTATTGAATATAGGGCACACCCTTTTTGGGCTCAAAAGTATTGCCCTTCTCACGAACACGATACTACCCCAAGATGTTGCAGTTGTGAAAGAATGGAGGTGGGCTTTCTTCTTCACTAAAATGTCCCCAAACATACATCTTCTACTCAAAGTCAAAACTTTTTTTAGCCGGAAATTGACAACTTATGTTTATTTTTGTAGCCACGGAATACGAGATATGTTGAACTTAATGATGGACGGAAACTTTGCCTTGAGTGTTTGGACTCAGCGGTCATGGACACCATGCAATGCCAACCTCTGTACTTGCAAATACAAGACTTCTATGAAGGACTTAACATGAAGGTAGAGCAGGAAGTTCCACTCCTCTTGGTTGAGAGGCAAGCACTTAACGAAGCCAGAGAAGGTGAAAAGAATGTGAGTAAAGAAAAGACAATTATCCAATAACAAGCTTTTTTTTTTTTTTTTGGTGCAAAATCCAATACTAAGCCTTGAAATTATCATCACATTCTATTTCTAAAGTATTAAACCTTTTTCATTTTGCTTCTTAGGGTCACTATCACATGCCAGAAACAAGAGGACTCTGCTTATCAGAAGAACAAACTGTTAGTACTGTAAGAAAGCGATCAAAGCATGGCACAGGAAATTGGGCTGGGAATATTACAGAGCCTTACAAGTTAACACGGCAATGTGAAGTTACCGCCATTCTCATCTTATTCGGGCTCCCAAGGTAAAGGACTCGTTTTACTTCCACTGAATTGATCTTATGTCACAGTTCAAGCATTGATGGTTTTACTGAATTTTTGTAGGTTACTTACTGGTTCGATTCTAGCTCATGAGATGATGCATGCGTGGATGAGGCTTAAAGGTAAATTTTCTTACTCCTCTAACTTCTTATTTTACTACTTCTTTCTCTATTATCACATTGTTGAAAACTTGTTTCGCTTCGGTATTATATTGTGGTCATAAAAAGGATTCCGAACACTGAGCCAAGACGTTGAAGAAGGTATATGTCAAGTGATGGCTCATAAGTGGTTAGAAGCTGAGTTAGCTGCTGGTTCAACAACTAGCAATGCTGCATCATCATCCTCTTCTTCTCAAGGACTGAAAAAGGGACCGAGATCTCAGTACGAGAGAAAGCTTGGTGAGTTTTTCAAGCACCAAATCGAGTCTGATGCTTCTCCGGTTTATGGAGACGGGTTCAGGGCTGGGCGGTTAGCGGTTCACAAGTACGGTTTGCGAAAAACACTTGAGCATATACAGATGACCGGTAGATTCCCGGTTTAAGAACCCAAATGGACAAGGTCTTCTACTTTATTTATAGGATCCTTGGTAGATTATTGTTATAAGCTCTATTCTTTTGGTGGAAATTGAACTCTCGACCATATTCTTATGTGTAATCATTCGATGATTCTTTTGTATTTCTGTGTTAAAATCCATCAGAATCAGATTCAGTGTTTTCTTTGTAATTGCTCTCTCTATCTAAATTCAACCGAACCAAACCAAACCAAACCAACCGAACCAAATACCAATTTAAAGGTTTCTCCTTTACACTCTCACTCTTCATCGCCGATGTAGTCGTCGTCAATCGTCGATTAAATGTGTTACGAGTTAAGATATTACTCGTCTTTAGAATTTTGAGCTACATGGTCCTAAAAATATATGGACTTAAATTTCCTATTAGTCGATTAAGTATTGAATCAGTCAGACCTGGCCTTCTTTGACATTTTGACGAGTTTTTAACATTATTTTCATCTGCTTCGACTCTTCTTCGACTCTCTTCTTCGCCTTCTTGAATTCTTCTTCCCAAAACAATCCTTCTACGCAGCTCTCTTTTGTCTTTTTGCTTTTGGATGAAGACTTGCCTTGTAAGCAACCCATGGCTTGTGCTAGGGGTAACTTATCAAACCATGATCTTAAAAACCTCGATTTCGATTTCTCTTTTTGGTCCAGATAAGATGATGGGGAAGCTGAATCAATGGAGGTTAGTGAAGTTGAACTGGTTCTTGAGTTCTGTTTAGGACGAAGCTTCAGGGTTTGTGTTGTTGGAGTCAAAAACATAGGGTTTATCCGTATTGTTGAACTATAGCCAATTCTCCCAGAATCTGAGAAATCTCCGAACTCACCTCGTGAATTATTCTCAAACCTCGAATTTACACTCGTATCACGTTTGATTCCGACAGATGAATCTAAAGGACAAGAGTTTCCAGTTAGATTTCCCGAGAAACTTGAAAAAGAAGAAACAGAGGAAACGTTTCCACGACTCTTCTTCTTAGGGTAACTTGCCATGCTCTTGGACTGAGAGAGAAGTTTCTTCGAGGAAGACGAAACAGAGTCAGGTCGAGAAACCGGAAGAGATTTGAGACGACGGAAACGGGTTTCGTGATTAGAGGGAAGAGCAGAGTCGTCGGTGAAGCCAGAGCAGTTGAGTTTGGCGACTTGTTCAAGAACGTAGTGATCTTTAGCTTGTGAAAGCAGATTCGCCACAGCTAAATCGTCTTTACCAGTATAAAAAATTGGCATCTTCGTCGATTTGGTTTAGGGTTTTGGAGTTTTTTCTTGGGAGAGAGAACGATGCTATGATTCTTCTTCCACGCAAGAGCTAATTCATGCACTTATAATAATCATCGTCTATAGATTCTTTCTATTTTTGTCTGCTAAATGTCCTTTTTTTTTCTCTGGTGAAAATATGTTAATTGTCCATTTTCATAATTTGTAATCGATCGAGTTATGAAGATAATTGTAGAATTGACTTAGATATATATATATCTTCAAACGAAATTCCTTTTTTTTTAATAATAAGTATATATTCAAAAAGTAAAAATTTTAGAAAATACAGAAAATTGACAATAAATAATACTGATACAAAGAAGCAATTATTCAAACAAGGCTTCTTGTTATCCAGTTTTCAGTAACAATATCAAAAACTAAATTGAAACTTGAAAATAAATGGTTTATAATATAAATGTAAGAACAATATTAAGCTTTTACAAGATAAAAGTAGAAATTCTACAAAACCAAGGGCCTCTCAACTGAAGAAGTTTTACCTTTTTAACCAAAAAGTATCAAAAACTTTCGCTATCTTTCTCAAAGTTTAAGGCTTTTCAGGGATCTCCTTGTGTCTCCATCTTCTTGCTCAACCTGAAAAAGACATACATATGTAAGAAAACATCGAAATCGTAGACACAACAACATCTGCTTGCAAATTATTTAAGCTATCTTGTGGAATCTCACCTCAACAACTACTCTTGATTTCTTCTTTGCTTTTCCGTTATCATCAGACTTCTTTAAAACCCTTCCTTTTTTATGAATCACAACTTGTTCTTCAGCATCATCGTTCTCCTCGTCATCTGAGTCTGTAGAGAGTTCACGATCGGGTTAATATAGTTTCTCAAAATGCATGGATTCAATTATTGAGTGAAAATAGTGAAAAAAAAGAAAGAAACAGGAGGGAGATGAATATTACCATGATCATCACCTTCAAGATAAGACTCCTTAGATGGAAGACCAGAGAAGTCTTCCATGTCTTCTTCTTCCTCTGCTTCGAGTTCATCATCGCCTTCAACATATTCAACCACTCCTTCCTGAGATATAATTTAATGAAATGAAGATCAGTAGAAAGAGGTTGCATCTAGGTTTGATGGACTACCAAAATTACACGGCTTATACAAAAGTACCTCCTCCTCTTCTTCCTCAACTTCTTGGTTGAGTTCGATTTCTTTATTAATAAGTTTGTCAAACGCACGCTGTGAGAAATTGTATATGTCAGTAGGGTAAATGCCTGTCTTCAAACGTTCCATCAACTCGTTTTCAATAGCCTGTAAAAAAAGAATCAGCACTATCATGAGAACCTTGGAACTACAGTGAAGCAAGTAAAATCAAAACACATAAACAACAAATCGTGACCTTATCCAACTGAGCTGCTATTTTAGCCTTATCCTCTCTTCTTAACTCCCTCTTTATTTGCCTCCTAGGCCTAGGGACTACTACCTCCCTGTCATTCAAAAACAAAAGCACAAAATAATTAATCACAACAAGAAAAGAACTAGACACTTGTAAATCAAACAAGATACCAAACTACCCAAACAAAAACCAGAAGGGGACAAGACCTTGTTTTCAGAGCAAGTTTCCTCATACGAATACGCATCTGAGTCATTTTAGTCAGTCTTTGTTTAACCTTATGCTGCAACAACTTGGGCCAGTACAACTGCCACACGCAAGAAGAAAAGAATTAAAACCCACCAAATCATAAGACATTGACGTTGCTAATGAAGAAGAAGAGTAAAGAAATAAACTGTGGCAATAAATCTCAAGCTCACCAAGTGTTTGTCAATCATTTCAAGAGCCATCTCATAGTTAACAGGCAGCTTAACTCTCTCCCACAAGTTCTTTGGCATGTGAGCTCTCTCAATAGTCTTCATATATAAATAAAACACTCCTGAGTAAACAACAACAACACAAGAGAATCCATTTGTAAGAAACCACCACAACAACACTAAACTCAAAAGAAACATCTTTCTAATTACCCTTTACTACATCAACTAAATCAACACCCAATCCTAACTATTCCAACACAGAATCAGCTCAAAGATTGACTCTTTTTGGATTTTTAAAAATTACCATCATGGTCTCGGATGGTGGCGTATCGGCTATTGGCAAGAGGGCAAGAGCTTCGATTACAGATTCCGGTTACGTTATATTGGTTTCTGCAGAAGATTCCAGTCTCGATTCTACAAAGCAAAAGAGAACAAATTGAGATACAGATGAAATTGAAAGCTGAGAAGTGAGGATTAAAAAGACATACTTGGCCATGTAACTGCAGTGCTTGTGCCTGATGACCTGCCATATAACCTCATCGTGTTGCATCTTTCACGGTGAAGCTTAAAATCTGGTAAAGAGTTTAGCTTTCGGGGGATATTTTAGGGTTTATGAGAGAAGAAGAAGAAGAAGCTGTGAAGGACGGCGGCGAGCAACTGTCGTCGAAAAACTCCAAGGGGAAGTGATTAACTAAATTTGATATTAGGGATTCATCTAATGGGCCTCATAGCCCAATTTAACAAAGCCCAAATGATACTCTTATATAAATCCCACTGGCCACTACCAACAAATTAGTTCATTTCATATGTTTTTTTTTCTTTTTTTTTTTTTCTTCAAACACCATTTCTATTAAGATATCGGAAAGAGACTCTCCGCTAGGGAGAGCCAATCAGGAACCGACGAACTTACATGGGAAAATAGATTGTTTCGAGCCCGAGCTTTTTTGGCTAAACAATCAACTCGAGTATTAAAACTACGAGGAAGAAATCTAATACTAAACGAAGGGAAAAAACAAACAAGTGACCGGAAAGAGGCCATTTCTGCTACGAAAGAAGGCCAAGCCTCTTGGTTGTCTAGGATAGATATCAAGTCAGAGCAATCAGATGCGAAGGCGCCATTAGTAATGCCTAGCAAGATCAAACAATCCATTGCCCAAAGAATCAATCTCTGCGTGGAGCGGTGAGAGGCTTCTTCTCGAACTCTTTAAGCCAAGTTGAAGAATACAGTCTTGGTCGACTAAAACCCAACCATGTCCACTTAGAGTGTCCTCCGAGTGCCAGGAAGCATCAATCTGACATTTCGAGATCCTGGGAGCGGAAGAGGGAAGTAGAACCGATCGGGCGAGAGGCTCGGGATCTATCGCTTCTTTCATGTTTGCTTTCTTCCAAACATATGCTTCTCGTAAGGCCAAGGCCAGAGTCTCCTGAGGAGGTTCTTTGAAATTTTCAAAGCAAAATCTGTTTCGACTTTTCCAGATATACCATAATATCCATGGAAAGAGTTCCAGAGTGTCCTCTTCTATTCCGAATTCTTTCCCACGCCAGAAAAGAAAGTCAAAATTATAGAAGAGGGAACTCCTGGGAAAAATGTGTCCTGAGGTGGGAATGGGTGATAAGGCCCAAATTTGCCTCGAAGGCGGACAATAAAAAAGAAGATGGTTTATAGATTCTTCAGGACCCCCGCAATGGGGGCATCCTTTCTCATTGCCAATATGGCGATAGGATAATCTCTGATAAGTGGCTAGACAGCCTGAAACACATTGCCACACGAAATGCATAAGCTTTCGCGTAGTTTTTAACTTCCATACCTGTGCCTGAAGTGCCGAAACACCAGGTCCCTGAAAAGGGGGGTCACAGGTAGGACGAGATAACTCTCGCGCGGCCTAGTATCCTGATTTAACAGAATAGTTTCCGGATTTGGTATGCGACCAGCTAAAACCATCACTCAAGTAGGTACGACTTGGAGGAATCCCTAAAATAAGTGGAATGTCAGCGGGGTCAATCAACTCTTGAAGGCGCTCCAGCTTCCAAAGCTTTATTGACTGATCAATTAGGTCATTGACATATAGAAGAGGGTCTCTATTGTCAAGAAGACTCTTAGCAGCTCTCGCAGGAATAGTGGGAATCCACGGGTCCTCCCAAACTTTGGTTAGCATTTCGGAGCCTATGGTTCTCCGAAGACCCGAGACAAGGAGAGGTTTGGCAGCCATTATGCTTCTCCAACCATACGAGGGCCGATTCGAGCTTCCTATGTGTAAAGGGTCGCTATAGCGAAAATAACGTCCTCTTAAGACCCTACTTAGAAGAGAGTTAGGAAATCTGATAAGACGCCATAATTGCTTAGCCAGTAAGGCTAGATTAAATTCCTCAAGCGTTCTAAAACCGAGACCACCTTCAGAATATGGTGTACAAAGTTTATCCCACGCTATCCAGTGAATGCCATTGCTATTTTCGTTGGTTTTCCACCAAAAGTTTGCAATGACACTGCTTAATTTTGATCGAATTGCTTTAGGAAGTAGGAAGCACGACATTACGTATGTCGGAAGAGCCTGCGCAACAGACTTTATGAGGACTTCTTTACCACCTTTGGACAAGAACTTTGCGGACCAGGTATTGAGCCTTTTTTGAAGCCGGTCTCTGACAAAGGAGAAGACTTGAACTTTTGAGCCATGAATATGTTCAGGAAGGACCAGATACGATCCCATACCCCCATCTCGATGAATTCCGATTGTCGCTTTAATGGTATTTTGGGTTGTATTATCCACATCATGGTCAAACATTACCGAGGATTTAGCAGTGTTTAGCTGCTGTCCTGAAGCCTCGCCATAGGTCTGGAGGATATTAATAATTTCTCGACCTTGCGTCGGGTCTGCTTTACAGAAAAATAGGCTATCATCGGCGAACAGAAGATGTGAGGTGGACGGACTGGCGCGGGAAATTTGAAGGCCTTGAATACGACCATTCCACTCGGCATCTTTAAGTTTTGCCACCAATGCCTCTGTACATAAAATGAACAGGAAAGGGGAGATAGGATCACCTTGGCGAATACCCCTGGATGGTCTAATGATACCTCTCGGAGAGTCATTTATAAGAACTTTATACGATACCGAGGAGATACAGCAAGTGATCCAATCAACCCATCGTTGAGCAAAACCCATTTTCAACATTAGGGCCCTAAGAAAAGACCATTCCACCCGGTCGTAAGCTTTACTCATATTTGTCTTTATAGCCATGAATTTTTTTCCTGCAAGCTGGATTTGTACGGAGGGCATGGAAATTTTCCTGCACTATAAGAATGTTATCTGTGATAAGTCGTCCAGCCACAAAGGCGGATTGAGTCTCGAATATAAGGTCCGGAAGAAGTTTCTTAAGCCGAATACTCAATACCTTCGATATGACTTTGTACCCAATGTTACACAAGCTGATTGGTCGAAATTCCGCCATCTTCCTTGGTCTATCTATCTTTGGGATCAGACAAATATTTGTCTCATTGAGGCGATCATCAAAAGATCCAGACGAGTGGAAGTTTTGGACTAATTTAATTAGGTCTGGTCCAATCAAGTCCCAGAACTTCTGGTAGAAAAAGGCCGTCATCCCATCTGGACCCGGAGCTTTATCAGGATGGAGAGAGAGAGGGATCTTTTAACTTCTTCCGGGAGATATTTCTCTTGTGAGCTTTTGATTCATATCCTCCGAGGTTAATCATCCGACAGCAAAATTCTCCTGATGCTCCGATGGTCTCCGGCACGCGTTGTTTCCTATCAGTTGCTTCCGCTTCTCTATACTCGTTGCTTCTCCGAAGCCTCGAGAACCTTGCGCCGCGAGCTTCGAGGAGGAAACGGGCGAATTCGACCCGAATTACTCGAGCGGGTCTCTCGTTTGCTCGTGCTTGGCAGGTACGAAGCATTACATGATCTATCTCTCGATTTCTCAGATGAACTTCTCAATTCCATCCTCCGTAGATTGAGGCTTAATCCAGAGGCATGTGTCGAGATTTTTAATTTAGCTTCAAAGCAACAAAAGTTCCGGCCTGATTACAAGGCTTATTGTAAAATGGTTCACATCTTGTCCAGAGCTAGAAATTACGGTCAGACAAAATCGTATCTATGTGAACTGGTTGCTCTTAATCACTCGGGCTTCGTTGTCTGGGGGGAGCTTGTTCGGGTTTTCAAGGAATTTTCCTTCTCTCCTACAGTCTTTGACATGATACTGAAAGTTTATGCAGAGAAGGGTATGGTTAAGAACGCTTTACATGTGTTTGACAACATGGGAAAGTATGGAAGAATTCCTAGTTTGTTGTCTTGTAATAGCTTGTTGAGCAATTTGGTCAAGAAAGGTGAAAACTTTGTGGCTTTACATGTTTATGATCAGATGATTAGCTTTGAGGTTTCTCCGGATGTGTTTACTTGCAGTATTGTTGTTAATGCTTACTGTAGATGTGGGAAAGTGGATAAAGCCATGGCATTTGCGAAAGAAATGGATAATTCATTGGGTTTGGAGCTGAATGTGGTAACTTGCAATAGTTTGATCAATGGATATGCTATGATCGGAGATGTTGAGGGAATGACAAGAGTATTGCGTTTGATGTCTGAGAGAGGGGTTTCTAGGAACGTTGTTACGTTTACGTCGTTGATTAAGAGTTATTGTAAAAAGGGTTTGATGGAAGAAGCGGAACAGGTGTTTGAATTGGTAACGGAAAAGAAACTTGTTCCGGATCAGCATATGCACGGTGTGTTGATAGATGGATATTGTCGTAATGGTCGAATCTGTGATGCCGTTAGGGTTCATGATTATATGATTGAGATGGGAGTAAGAACAAATACAACCATTTGTAACTCCTTGATCAATGGGTATTGCAAATCTGGTCAATTAGTCGAAGCGGAACAAATACTTACTCGGATGAATGATTGGAGCTTGAAACCAGATCATCATACATACAATACCCTTGTGGATGGGTATTGCCGGGCTGGTCATGTTGACGAGGCTTTAAAGCTTTGTGGTCGAATGTGCCAAAAAGAAGTTGTACCAACAGTTATGACTTACAATATTCTTCTTAAAGGTTATAGTCGGATTGGTGCTTTTCATGATGTTTTGAGCCTTTGGAAGATGATGCTAAAAAGAGGCGTAACTGCCAATGAGATTAGTTGTAGCACCCTACTCGAAGCATTGTTCAAGCTTGGCGATTTTGATGAAGCTATGAAGCTGTGGGAGAATGTCTTAGCAAGAGGTCTATTGACGGATACGATAACCTTAAATGTAATGATCAGTGGACTGTGTAAAATGGAGAAGGTCAATGAAGCCAAAGAGATTCTAGATAACGTGAACATTTTCAGATGTAAGCCAGATGTGCAAACATATCAAGCGTTGAGCCATGGGTATTATAATGTCGGAAATTTGAAAGAAGCTTTCGCGGTTAAAGATTTTATGGAAAAGAAAGGAATCTTCCCCACCATAGAAATGTATAACACTCTGATATCTGGTGCTTTCAAGTATAAACACTTGAATAAAGTAGCGGATCTTGTGATCGAGCTACGCGCAAGAGGATTAACTCCTACTGTTGCTACATATGGGGCTCTTATCACCGGCTGGTGCAATATTGGAATGATAGATAAAGCCTATGCTACATGTTTCGAGATGATAGAGAAAGGGATTACCTTAAATGTGAATATTTGCAGCAAGATTGCAAACAGTTTGTTTCGGCTTGATAAGTTTGACGAGGCTTGTTTGCTATTGCAGAAGATTGTGGATTTTGATCTGCTTCTTCCTGGTTACCAGAGCTTGAAGGAGTTTCTTGAGCCTAGTGCTACAACATGTCTTAAAACACAAAAAATTGCTGAGTCTGTCGAGAATAGTACTCCTAAGAAGCTCTTAGTTCCCAATAACATTGTTTACAATGTTGCTATCGCAGGTCTCTGTAAAGCTGGGAAACTCACGGATGCTCAAAAACTCTTCTCGGATTTACTATCCAGTGATAGGTTTATTCCAGACGAATACACATACACGATCCTAATACATGGATGTGCTATTGATGGTGATATAAACAAAGCCTTTAACCTGAGGGATGAGATGGCTCTAAAAGGTATTATCCCGAACATTGTTACATACAATGCTTTGATAAAAGGCTTGTGCAAGTTGGGGAATGTAGATCGTGCTCAGAGGCTTTTACGTAAGCTTCCACAGAAGGGCACAACACCTAATGCTATTACCTATAACACATTGATTGATGGACTGATTAAAAGTGGTGATGTTGCTGAAGCTATGCGCTTAAAAGAAAAAATGATTGAGAAAGGCTTGGTTAGAGGATCCTATAAACAAGGGGATGTTGACAAACCGAAGGAGGTTTTGGATCCGGGAGTTAAATTGGGGATCACAGGAGTGACAGAAATGAATTCGAATGAGCATTATGATGATAGGATAGTTTCTGAAGCATGCGTATGATGATGAAAAAAATCCTTACCTCTTGTAAAACCCTTCGAAACATCACTATGAGTGATGGGTAACAGGAAAGGAGGCTACTAAGAATCTCCTCCATTGTTGTGGTATGATTGTATACTTCAAGGAAACAGTGTATCGTCTCAAGATCATATGAAAATTGTGATCGTCAGCTCAAAATCCATCACTTGGATTCAAATTTGTCGGCCTTTTCTTCTGATCCTTGACGTCCTTAAGATATGAGACATCACATTCATGGAGCCTGAAGTTTCGAGCGGCCTCAGGTAAGCACACATTACACTTGTTCATGAATCTTTTCAATCATGTTTGACAAGCTATAGTGTTTAGGATAGGAGACAAAACTGAGAATGTTAACTGTCTTTGTCAGGTTTATTGATAAAGGGCAAACGATCGATATCAGTCAGTGGTTTTTGATAAGCTGATCAACAGATCAAACCAGTAAGCTCTCCATCTCACGGTAGTTCTTGTTCCTTCCAAAGCCAGATAAGACTCTGTGATCATATATATGTACCATATAATGTTGGATGTAACAAATGTGATTGATTAATAAGTAAGTTGCTTCAGATCAACACAAGCTATTGATTTAAATTGACGAGCCAACTCTTTTTCCTTTTTAGAATGTGAACAACAACCAAACCTACCTTTGATTGTGTGTGTAATCTGCCGAACCGGAGAGCTTGTTCCGGTCTGTCTCGGTTTAATTTTATTAAGAATGGTTTGATTTGAGACACGGTGGGTCCATAGTCAATAGTATTGTCACGTGTTGCGCAGAAAGCTCAGTCTCACAGTCACAGCTTTGAGAAAAAATATTCAAACTAAAAGTCTAAAACTAACAAATTTTTGCATTTTGATTTATTTTTGAGAAATACCCTAGAAAATTTAATAAGAAAGTAAACAAATAATATTAAGTAGTATTTTAACCATATAGAAAAAATTATTTAAACAATATATATTACTTTTGATAGGAAAAAACTACTGTTAAATGGTAACCCACTCGTAGGAAGAAAAAATAGCATAATCTGCCACTTAGTGGAATTTCTTTTACCATCAAAATGCCGAATATTTTAAGTTTAAGACCTAATTTATCTTTGTAATTTTACTACATCATACTGGATTTGGAGGGGACTTAGTTTTTTTTTTTTATATACAAGGAGGTGAAAAATAAATGTACAGTGAATTGTTTCTTTAAAAGAGAGTCTCAAAGGTCAAACTGTACATTAATGTATGATGGGACCTTGCTCGTGCTTTTCCTTTCTTTCGCTCGGACCACCGACACTCTGTCTCCAATTATTTCCTAAAACTTAACCTAATGATTTAATTTCGTCGACATTTTAATTAAACAATTAACATTATGGATCTATGATTCAAACAAGCATGTCGCGGGTGACTCTGATTTCTTTCCTACTTGGTTCATTGCTACTTTCCAAGGATATACGAATTACTTGCAAATTTCTTCAAGAACATGATCTTTTCTCAAGTACGTTACTATTTGTAAATTATTTGCTAGTATCCACTATCCACCCGATGGAAATATACATGGAAAGGAGCTTTTAATATGGTTTGGTTTTCTATGATTTGGTATTTTTCATAAGACAAAAATGAAGAAATAGCGAAAGTTTAGACACGTGATATTGTTTTAATTTTTAAAGACGGATGATGGAAATTCGAAAATGAGGCAACACATGTGCTCTTCAACCTACGAACCGTCTACACATAGCTAAAATCCGACAATGGACATTATGTACCTTCATTTACAATTATAGATTCTTATGTTTGGCAATTTAAATTCGGTTTCTAAAGTTCCATTCCCCATATGCACAACGCTAACGCAGCGTTCTTAAATGCTCAATAGTTCAATCTCTTCCATTTTACATTCACTTCTATAATCCAAACATAACCGATTAAATTAACAACCGTATAATATGTAAAAATGTTTTTATTTCTTACTCATATAAATTCAAAAAGTTACGTGTATATATATGTTCCATTTAATCTCTCATGTTACCAAATGCAATCGCATTAATTTCATTAAAGGTACCAAATAAACACTTTTGTTAAAACACTAATTGATAAAATAACACTTTTAGAAAATGTTAAAATTTTAGCCACGTACTGTTTTTCATTCTTTTGGTCACTTTTTATTATTCTCTGCTATACTCCAAAACAAAACCGATGAAACCAACAAGGAACAAAAGCAAAATGTTTTTTTTTTTCCTTCGGTTATAGTATGATTTACGAATCGATGTACAGTAAAAACAAAAAATCACCTGTATATATGATATGTACCGGTATAATAATATAAGTAAACCGAGACTGGTTAAGAATCCAGCGCGAAAGGCGTTTGAAGAAGATCATACGGAGCCCAAAGCGCGTCTAAAGGACAAGGCCGACCAGCGTCAAGCCTGGCCCATGGCTTACCTTTCCCACTCCAATGCAACAGACTCACCGGACCAGGGTGCAGATCTCTACACAGTCCTCTGAAATTATCACCTCCTAAACCATGCTGGTTCCATCGATGATTAACCGGTTTAATCAAACCGGCGAAAACCAGCAAAAACGGTGGTAACGAACCGAGTTCGTAAATTCTCATTCTCTTTTGCATCGCCATCCACTCTTCGATGCGTGACGTGTACGCGCCTTCGCGCCACCGCGAGAGATCGATCACCATGACTCCGGTGTTGAAGTAGCAAGCTTTTCTATCGACGAAGGTTAAAGAGAGAGTTGGATTTGACCAGAAGGTTGATGTGAAGTAGGAAGTGAAATTGGCGTTGCAGTATTCCGGCGCGGCGAGGACTGAATCACGGCCGAGATCTGTGGCGGCGAGTTTTGCGATGTCGTCGACGAGGATCAGATCAGAGTCTAGGTAAACAACGCGGCGGACGCAGGGAGGGAGGAGATCAGCGAGGTAGCTTCTTGCGTAGTTTAAAGGACAGTCTAGTGCGGAGCGGATAGAGGAGGAGATAAGGCGAGAGACGGAGGAGACGTTGAAGACGTAGACGGTGAAATCAAGGTAAGGGAAAGAGGAGGAGATGGTGGCGCGTAAGGAAGACGCGTCGGCGGAAGCAGAGGCGACGAAGTGGAAAACAATGTTTTCAGGGCAAGAAGAGTGTTGGAGGACGGAGAGAACGGCGGCGACTGAACCGCGAATGTAGGCGGCGTCGAGTGTCATCGCCACGTGGACAGCTCGACGGGAGCAGAAGATTGGTTTGGCGGCCACGTCATCGTCGGAGTCATCGATTGGGGGGCAATCTGCTGAATTGTAAAACTGTGGGGCTTCTTTGAATTTTTGAATAATTGGAGAGGCGGAAATGGGATTATGAAGAAGAAGAAGTGAGAGGAGAATGAGAAGAAGAAGAAGATGTTGGGACATGGTTTCTTTCTTTCGTCTCCGACGACTCTCTGATTGTATTGGAAGGTTTTGTTTCTCTCAAACTGAGAATTGAGAAACATGAAGAGAAGAGCTGTCTCTAAAGACTTTTTATCATGTGTGTGTGTGTGTAAGAGAGAGGAAAATTAACAAAGGGTTTTGCTTAGATTTTGGGTTTCTCTCATCAAAAATTATTTATATATTGATTAGATTCCAAGCCATTTTCATCATATTTTTATATATTTTTTTGTCTAATCTTGAAAACTGAAACCTATATTATTGCGTCAGAGCAACAAAAAAATGGTCAAATTATTTACTGAATTTTTCGAATGCAGAAGTGTGGAATTTTTCGATTTAAATGTTTTTTAAATCGAATGCAGAAGTGTGGGAATTTATTGTATCCACATGATTACCGAAAATCAGTGTAGATCCACGTTATAGGCTATAATGTATATTAATTGGTGATTAAGCTATTTATTAATGAGATTTGAATATTTATAATTTTCTGTTTTTATTTTTTCTTACTACTAAATGCACAAAATAAAAGAGTCATGGAAGTTGATATATGACAATGATAAGCGCTTATCAAAAACAAATTCATACACGTAATATCGTTATATTTGTCTCTGCATACAGTACAAACAAATAGTTTTTGGAATTCGAATTTTTTGGATAGATATATCTCGAGAAATTATTGAAAATTATGTGGCTAGTACTTGGTACGATTCACAATTGCAGAAGAATAGGAGCAAGACAGAAACGTGAAATGAATGTTTTGAGGATAATTTAACGAGCTGACAAAATAATGAAATATAATTTTATATACATGACTTTGTCAATAATTCTTGTGGTTGAGATGTTTATGTTTAGCTTCAAACTTTATAGTAAATCTATTCATTTTTGCTAAAAGTTTTTTAGTTTTTTCTTTGAAGTTTCTATTATGGTCCTTTGTCACTTTCCATAATTCCATGACTACGAAATTTATAGGTGAAATGAAATACAATTAATAAATAAATTGGATCTATTTGAAAATTCCTATTATACCGCCGATTTGCATTTTACATATATCTGCCACGCTATTTTTTTTTTTGCTTATTGGTTCTAGTCTTTTTATTTTATTTTTAAATGTTAGTCTTTTATTTTCAATGATTGTTTCTTTTCTTTTTTTTAAGAAACTTTTTTTGGATCATGGGGAATGGGCACATGGTCAGGAAGTGGGTTTCCCTTTTTCTTTTCCTGACGAAATTCAATTTTTCTAATAATTGTAATAAATAAAATTTGAAACTAAAATCTATATACCTATCATGCAAATTAAAACACGTATTAATTAGTTAAAAATTAATCTATGGTTTTAACCGACAACAATTCATTTCCAAATTAGGAGAGCAAATAAGCAAGTCTTTTCCAAAGAATGCATTTTGAGTATAGTATTAAAACACATTAGCTCGTTTTGTTAGTACTGATGGTAATTATGTTGAATAATCAAAATTAAAATCTATACTAATAAATAATTAAAATATTATAAAAAATTTCCATTATACAATAGTACTAAGAAACACTCATAAAGATAAACGTAGAAAAGCAAGACGCGTGGGCCAAACGTGAAGTGGAATAATATCTCAAATCGTAATGGTACGACTTTTCTTTCATCACCAAATGTGAATTCGCGAGTACTTTTGGGTTAGAGTCTTTAGATTTTATACCATGTCATTTTTGTTTTTGTTTTTGCATACCTTTTTGCAATTTTTTTAAGTGTTCGTTTTATTTCAAATAAATTCCTTTCATTATGTAAAACACCCGCGATTGAGCTAGACAACTCATTGCAATACACCAAAAAAAGATACTCCAAAAGAAATATAAAGATACACCATATATTATAGTAAAATGTTCGAATATATGAAGATGTTTCGAAGTCTATCATCGACATGGTAAACCAATTGTGTTCATGGCCGTAATAAAACATAATATACGTAGAAGTAAAAGGTTGAACAATAACAGTCGATAACCTTAAGTTGAACTTATAATTTAATTGGTAAACAAGTAATTAAATAAACGTTTCGACGCTACAATACATATATTAACATTTACCAATCAAATCTTACTTGCACAGTGTTTTTCATATGTTGCATGCTTGCATTGAGTAAAATTTAGAAACCTATGTGAAATAGAGTGACGAGAAAAATAATAAGTTAAGAAGCCAACTTGAACTGTTGGGCCATCGTTTTATCTTGAA